TTCTTGAGGGTGGATAAATTGCTCTGACGTTCCTCGAAAATGTTCTTAATTTCTACGAAGTTTCATAAACTTCATCTAAGTTCCATAAGGTTCTTCTTAAAGTTCTTTCAATTCGCCCAAGATCTCAGAACATCCATGACCTTCTCCAAACATCAGGAAAGATCTCTTAGAAAGTTTTCTATAAATTTTCCTAATCTTCTGGGCGAAACTAAGTTCTCAAAAATCCCAAATCAAACAATGAAATTCTAAGAAGTTTGCTGAATTTCTACAATACTATACAATTTCCTGAACTTCTACGAAGTTCATTGAGTTTCTACTAAGTTTACTGAGCTTCTACAAAGCACACATAGCACAAAGCACACAAAGTTTTTAGACATAGTATTAAGTTAAATTTGTTACAAATAATCAACAATTAATTACCAGCTCAGTAAAGCTAACGCAATTGAGCCTCCCAAATATACGAACTAGATAAGATAATAATTGTCGTTTCCAGCTATTCAATTTTTAAATTCATTCATTGAATTTACACAAATCAATATTGAAAGGTACTATTAACCAAGTTTTTTTGTCAAAATATTTAGTGGCATAATAAAATACAGAACAGAAAAGTACATTTTCGCACTGCACACTGAACAATCACTACACGCTCAAAGCAAAAAAGGCTATTTTGCTACGCCTATTTTGATTTGATTTCAATGGCACAAATTTTGAAAAGAAGAATAACCATAATAAAATTTATATGGTAATTTTGCTTAACGTTTGGGGTTTGTGTTTGGGGTATCATCCAAACCATTTGTGGAAAAGTTCGCCAATTTGGGTAATCGTTTGTTTATGGTATTTGTTTATTAGGGAAGCTATACAATAAATTCCGTGTGTGCTATCTGCTTCTCCCTCCCAAATTGTCACCTAGAGGAGACATTGACGACTATTTTGGTTTAACGGTAAAACTCTATTTTGATGAAACCGGTTGCAAAAATCGATTTTGTTGAAACTGGCTTCAAACAGGGTTGCTTCTACTCACTTCCTATAAAAAAATTGATTTTCTGAACTATGAAACCATTACATGTTATAATGAAATAAAAAAGTAGTTTAAAGCTACAAGAAGAGGTTGTAAAGCATGTTATATAATCATAAATCATGTCAATTTCACATTCAGTGCGTCACAATCAGCGATTTTACTATTCGTGAGCGCTCACTCTGAGTACACGAATCGTAAAATCGCCGACTTACTGAATGTGAAATTGACAGGATTTATGATTTAAACACATGCTTTGCAACCTCTTCTTGTAACTAACATGATCAAAATATCATTATGATATCTAATGATTTAATAATTTCGAAAAACTTTGTTTTTTAGCAAGTGAGTGGAAGCAATCCTGGTTTCAAAAATTAATTTTGATGAAACTGGCAGCTATTAAAGCTATATTTATCTACTTTCGTTTGTTTTGGTGTGTACTGGATAGGACCTAAGTGGGCATCGGGTACACGACGTTAGGCATACGGTCGTTAGGCATACGGTCGTTACACAGCAAAAAATAAATTTTAATATTACATCCAAGAGGATGCACTTCAATCGTGACGAAAATCTCATGTAATTTTTATGGCCACAAAAATAAACAAATACAGCAGCGTAATGTCAATTCGTGCATTGTATTAACGATAATTTTGTCCTTTTTGGCAGGTAAGTTTACACCATATTTTCGACACGATTGAAGTACATCCACTTTGTTGTGATATTAAAATTAATTTTTTGTTGTGTAGGCATAATGTACGATAGGCATAATGGACGTTAGGCATAAAGGACGTTACGCAAAATGGTCGTTATGATGGTGAATTCTAGAAGGATGATAATGGGGACCGTTTATTGATTGCTAATATCGGTGACAATAATGAAAGAGCCTTAATTTTTGGGACTCATGAACACTTGCGACGTCTTGGACAGGCTAAGTATTGGGTTGTAGATGGTACGTTTGCCACAATTCCTTGTTTGTTTCGGCAACTCGTCACTGTTCATGGAAGTATCGCTCCCTCACATCAGTGAGGGACTTCTCTGACAATTGTAATATGTGTGTAACAATATACTACAACAAATGTGTGATTTTTTTTTATTTCTAGATGCGATTGATTTCAAGATATAGTTGAAAACTATGCTGAGTTTTCATTGCAAGATTACTTAACCGCTATCACTACTAATCTTGAATCTAAATAAATATGTAGCTACGTCACGTTATTCAACGCTTAGTCAAATTTAAGCATTGTTTACCATGCTCGAAACAGATTTCTAGAGTTGCAGGTATTTTATGCCTAACGTCCATTATGCCTAACGTATATTATGCCTAACGTATATTATGCCTAACGTACATTATGCCTAACGTCCGTATGCCTAACGTCCGTACATAATTTTTTCGCCGAGATTCCAACAGCCGAGTAGTACTGCAATCTATTTTGCTGAGATTCAGTAATACAATTGCCGAGACTCAGCTAACAAATAACTATTTGCTGAAATATCAGCTAACAAACAGATATTATGCAGAAATATCAGCAAAAGTGAATGCCGAGGTAATCGGCTATTGGAGATTTTTCCGAGCTAGATTAAGTGTGTATGCATAACGTATTTATGCCTAATGGGGTACACTTGTAGGTACCTAAAATCGGTTCCAAATATAAAAAAAAACTCTGATTAATCCATGTACTAGTGATAAGAACCTTTCTTACATAATATCAAAAAGCTTCATTTCATATTCTAGACACTATCTGAAGGGCAACCGAAACATGCTAATGACAATTAGTGAAACTCTACTGAATATTGAATTGGCTAAAACAGCCATACACAAGTTTCAAAATGATAAACGTACAGTGCTGGCAATAATTTAAAAAATGGTAATTTTTATGTCAATAAAAAAAAACTTTAAAGTGGTGTTAATTTCCATTTTTTTCATGCATCAAAATTTCATAAATATTGGTAACTGGTGGATTTAATATTCCAAGTTTATTGGATGAGTTTGTACGAAGTATGGATTAATTTAGTAAAATGTATCTTATTTGACTACTATTTTTCAAATTGCTATTTCTTGAAGTAAAAAGATCCAAATGAGCTGTGATTTTTGTCTTGACTAGTCAAAACACTATTTCTGCAATTGGTTGTAAATTTACTAAAAAATCCAACATTTACAGTCAACAGATAACATCATTTTAGATATAGGATAATAACTACCTTCTCAAACACTACAACATAAGCTTTTTAGTAACAGAGAAGATGGAACTGTTGGCCGCGAAAAAAAAAAACCAAAGCGACTGAATCACATTATTTCTCATGTTTTTTTTTGTAAAATGAAAATAAATTCAAACTGATGTTACGTTTTTCGAGGTGACTAGATTTCAGTTATCGTTAAACAGGGTTAAATAATAGTGTTTCGACTATAAACAGTAATAGCTACAGTTCATTTGGTTAATTGGTTTACGAAATAACAATTTGAAAAAATGTAGTCAAAAAAGAATTGTTTTGCTATAAGTACTCAAACTTCTTACAAACTCAACCGTTAAAATTTAAAATTAAACCTTCAAAATATGATCCACCAAGAGAAAAAATTTCAGAATCAGAAACATACTGAAAAGTTACAGCACTTTGATGTTTTTTGGAGAGGAAAAAATTACGGCGATTTCTTTATAATTAACATAGGTTACTCATAGACTGAGTAAAATTTTCCTCGCTTTGCTTCAAAAATCTGCTCGAATATGAGGAAAATCGACAAAATATTACTCAATATAGGAGTAAACTAATAGACTGAGTGAAACCTCTATCAATTTTCTTCGTATTTGAAAAGTTTTCCCAGCAAAATCGAGGAAAAGTTGACTACATCTATGAAAAACGTACGGTAATTTGAGTTAGTTTAATCGGCCGTGTACTAAATACTCATGTGGGGAAATTTTGCGCTATATGATGACGATTTTACTTTTCAATTTCAAGCAGTTTAGACAGTTTGACGTTTGAAGTATAATGTTAACAACAACAGTTACGGCTATTTAATAATTTGTTCTAATGCAAACTAATGTTCCTATCGCTTCATTTCTTTACACTTGAAAATGCTTTAGATAACAGATTTTGAGAGTCAAACCTTCATTAATGTTCTTGGTGCCCCTACGATACAGACCATAATATGAAATAATGCTCTATTTAATATTATACGAGAAAGACATTTGGATGGATTAATCAGAGTTTTTTTTTCAATATCATTTTAAGGTTGCTAAGAAACTATGATATTGAGATATATTTCCGTTTATCGCATTCCACTTTGTTGTCCATATCTTCAATTGAAAATTTTAACTTGTTTGTTCATATCTCCGGAACTAAAAGTCTCATTGATATAAAATTCAATAGGGTTCCATGGGAGCCAGATAAGACCAAACGTCAATTGACAATTTACTCAAATCGGTTCAGTCAACTCTGAGAAAAGTCAACAATAACAATCTTAAAGTCATGATTTCCTTAAAAGTCGGAAGTAAACTCGGAGCAAACACAACGTAATGACGTCTTTATAGACTGGTGCATAGGCCCAAAAAAAAAACACAAAATTATAGTTAACAGAAGAATAAATAAACATACAATGACAATAAATTTACAATTTTATAGTAACAAAAAAAAAAGATTTCCATTTGCAATTTTTAATATAGAGTATGAAATGCTTGCTATCATATAATGTAGAACAAATTTTCAGAGAATATCAGAAATTAAAAACCGAAATTACGCACGGTATGAACCACAAGGTTGAAGTTTGCATTATAAATTTAGGATGATCTCATAAACTGTATAATTTATCTTCCTCCTAAGCCTTTACTAATTGTATCTATCTGTAGACATAAATTAAAGTAACAGATTCCCACCGCATTATTAGCCATGCTTATCGTCTTGCACGTTAAATGTATTCTGTCTGAGACTGGTTTGCCATCCCGTCAACCCTCATACATGCATATAATTAGAAGGCTAGAAGCCAATTATTCACCTTTAAACTTCTAGTAATTGTCGGCCGTTGTTGTTCGTTGCTCTGTGTATCGTTTGTTCCTGCAGCTACTATCACACAATTCCACACATACACACTTCTGGGTGCTTCGTTAAATTGCCAGAAAACGAAATCAGTTCACTTTCGTTTCGATATCACCGCGAGCGTCTAGCAACGAATCAGATTTGATCAATAAATTGTATATCACTTTTGTTTCCCTAATTGCACAGGATTTTGGAGTATTTCAATCAACGAGCGTGAGCTACCACAATTTCGCGCGCAAACTCCTCTTCTGATTATTTTTTTCCCACTTCGAGCAATTTCAATTAGTCACTTCTTTGCCACCAGCGAGATTCCCTATCTTCTAAGTAGAGTTATCCTAAAGTACGGATCGTATATTGCTTTGCGGTAAGGAGTCACTCACACACACGATGGCGAGGGGTCTTCTCCTAAACCGAGAATTCCTGCAAAGACAACCGAATCTTCCGCCGATCAGCCACTAACTAAGTCCGGTTCACTGTCCGGTGCTTCAATAAATAACAAAAGCGCTTTTTGTTTCAACGCTTCTCGATCTCGCCCCAAGCCTCTCCGCACTGGGTAGCTTTATAGCGATCCAGCAGCAGCAGCAGCAGTTGGAGAAGGTGGCGGGCTTTGGTTTCAACACTGGAATAGTGGTACTGAACTGACTGCGACTGGGCTGGGACGCATACTGGATCGAGGCACTGGATGTGGTGAGTGAGTGAGCGCGCGAGTGAGTGAGGTGGAGAGCATGTTTCACGATTATTGGCTCGCCCGCCTATTTGGTTTAGGCCTCACAGCCTTGAGGCAGCAGGTAATGCTGCCAGTAGTGCTAGCTAGCAATATGACCGACCAAGACCGACCCGTGACGGGTTGATACGGGATAGATAGACATGAAATCCACCGTGTGTATTCTAGTTCTCGCCTTTAGAATTTGTTCTTGACTTTGTTTTGCCTTTCTCGTACACCGAGGTGTACCGAAAGGCTATAATATCACTCGAAAAACACATTATCCTATTATCCCGATCGGATATCTGATTCCGGAGATATTTTGTAATTTTGTAAGCAAAACAGTGCTACTCACGTTTTTTTCTCGACGACGATTTGAGTGCAATCAGTGCTATTTTTTTAACTGTTTTCCATAGAACACGGGTGAATTTCATCCTGATCGGACATTTGGTTCCGGAGATATGACCATAAATAAAACCCTGATTATTCCCCTACCGGTTAAAAGTGTCTTTCTCGTGTAATATGAAGTATTAAGTAAGAACCTTATATAGTGTAGTATTAAATTGATACTAGGTGAAATGAACTCCAAAATAGGTACATTTTTTACAATTGAATGAATGGCAACTATTCAAAGCCTTTTGTTAGCCTTTACAAAGAAAATTATGAAATAGACAATTTGTTCTTGAACTAATTTTCCTTTAAGTTTCAAACTAATTTTTCATTCCCTTTCACCCGGAAATGCTTCGGATACCTATCCTATGGGGAACTGTCATTGAAAGTCTTGACATCACTCATGCATGTTCCGGATGCCCCTGTGATGGGGACCATTGTAACTGTTTGATTTTCCCGGCAAGTTCAGTAGAAAGAGACCCCTCAAGCAGGGTCTCAGGGTCGGCTTACTACTTGGTTATCTATCACGAGGAGCTAGATATATTGTATAGTGTTACTTTGACGAGAAATAAGGGTTTTTATTTAGTAAGTTGGTATATTGATGGGATTAGGTTAGTTTACTGCGGTTTATTGTGGGTGTGGCTAAAAAGAAATATCGTCTTCAATATATACCACTGCTCTTTGCTACTTATGCCGGCGACACCCTGCGAGCGTTTGCTGCTGACGACGAATAGTCGCTGGTGGTTTCCAGAACGGTGGCTAATGGTCGTTTAACCGCACGATGGTTTGGCGGAGTTTGTCGATCGTGTGTGGCTGTGTAAGCCTTTCAGGTGCCCTCCTTCGTTGACGGAGATTGGCACGGCCCAGGACGATACCGGAGTGATCGTGTCAAGACGTTAGGGGGAGGTCTACTACACCGGATCGTGTGCACCTGGACGAGCCTCTGACCAGATAAAATGGAGACTTTCAGGATAATGCAAATCGGGAGATATTAAAAGACCCGTACTTATTTTCTAGTCATTAGTAGTAAGCTAGATTTAGTTAGATTTTAAACGTAGGATAGGTAATTAGCGTACCTGATTAATCCGTATCCATATTCCTTTTTTGGATGGATACCACTTACTTCTAACTTTTAATGACCCTTTAAATTTTATTCTTCTGCACACGAACGCCTTATTTGTGGGCAATGGGGCTCCTTTTTATTTTGTGCCTCGTTTTAGCTTCTTTGTTGCTGCTTGCGGAGTTGGAGGTGGGGGGGACGGGGTTGTTTTGGTCACCAACATATTTTGGCACAATTCGCCAGTTGGTCTGCGTTGATACGGAAACTTCCTGCAGCACGATCGCAGCAGGCCGCGCTTGAAAGCTGACGTGTTTTTCTTTTACTGCGTATTTTTAGTCAGCGAATTAAACATTACATCAAATTTTGTTGCTTTAAATTTGTAAATTTGTGTGCTGAAATTTAGTTTCAAGTGTTCGTAAAGTATCATTTAGTGATATTTCGTGTTTTGCCTGTGTTTGCCTTGAGTGACTCGGTTGACCTTGAATCTAACCTCCAAAATATACGACGCAGCTTCAGTTCCGTTGTTAGGTGTCGGTATTCATTGCCTCCCGGGAGCCCGCTTCTCCGAGTTCAGATGCTACACTTTCGGCACGTGTTGATAATGTATCCGCCGTCGCGAGTTTTGGTGTTGATTCGGTGGCCGACATTGCCGTGAATCAGCAAGTTTTCCGCTTGCAAAACTGCTCGGCTGCTGGTCTCTCGCCGGTGTCGGAGATTGCGAGAAATGTGAAAGATGCCTCGCTGGATACGCCCAAGACTTGACGGTTGAACAGTTGGTGGCCGCGAACTGTTCCTGGGGAAAGCACTAGACGCAAACCTCCTCCCAGATGACCATGGCAATGCAAGAAAATTGTGTTCGTTGAAACAAGTAGGGGAAATGACGGCTTCGGCATGAAAGACTATTTTCGGTAACCCAAATTGAAACACTATTTTCACTGGATTTTCTTACGAAAACACTTCGCTGAATGCATGCAAACGATTCTTTATGCTTTCAGCTTCAATTTGACTCTATTTTTACCACTGAGAAAAAGCAATCTAGCAGGGTTTTCTTGAAATGAAACACACGCACTACAAATTGTAGCTAATTTCGAGTTGCCGATAATAGAACAGCAGATTTACATGCAGTTCAAATGGAACGGTTGCCGAAGAAAAACTGGTTGCCGACAATACTCGCTCTCACTAGAGAAGATTGGAGCTTTGTAAAAGCGTTTCAAAACAGTTTTTGGCAATTCTTTCGACTGAAATTGTTAGAGCAGCTGGCAGCAAAAGATTGTAAACAATCCAATACTGCATATGTGTGCGTTTCATAGAGAAAAAGGCTATAGAAAGAAGATCGCTGCTTAGGTTGCCGAGAATACGAAAATTCCCCTATTACGACAAAGGTGTATCACGAAATGAGATGCAAAGCTTAGAGAAATCTTGGAGGATCAAATTAAAATGGTGAGACCAATCCAAAGAACATAAACTAAATACACTCAGGTCTTTTTTTACACGGGGGATACGGTCCGTGTAAAAAAAAACCGTGTAAAAAAAAAACCTACGAGATTTTAATTTTTCGCATGCTTTAATGTTTTTAAAAAATCGGATTTTGATGCCATTTGTAATTAAAGCATGATATGGTCCATATAGACATATTTTAAAAATTTCTGTATTTACACCAAAAGTTGATATTTTTTTTAAAGTATGCCATTCGATTACAAATAGCTTGAAACGGATAATGTGATTGAAATCAAGTCGATAGGTTGTATCGTTGTCGAGAAATCGTTAAAAACGTACCGTGTAAATCGTGGAAAACCGTGTAAAAAAAACCGTGTAAAAAAAAACCGCGTAAAAAAAAAACCGTGTAAAAAAAGACTTCAGTGTACGTGCCATGTTTGGAAAGAATATTTTCGAACCTGGAAGCGTGTATGTAATACCAATATCCATTTGATAACAGCGATGCATACATGCGGGGGTTATTGTAAGTGAAAGTAGCCTCGGAATGGGCGTGACTCTCCAGACATTCTGAAATGGGTTGCTGGATCTGTCTATCAGTTCCTATCACTTTCTAACTCCCGGACTAAAGCTGTCTACAATGACCGTAAATGCCATATTGTAGAGAGAGTTCTTCCATAAAAACACTGCCGGCCAGTGGGGGTTGGAGGGAATACACACATACACACACACACAATTCGCCAGCTGGTCTACGCTCGTTATTCTTTAGTTGTTGCACCCACTGGCTTGCATGCAATTCAACCCACTTGTTTTGTGTATAATCTAATAAAAATTTTGATTGACAGTACATTAGACTAATCCTTATGTTAATCCAACACCACTTAACTCTAGAGACGTGACTGTACACCAAATAAAGAAACGAATTTACAAAAAGACATTTAATTTGTAACAGTTGGTTACACCATAATGAAATGAAACTATTTAATGACTTGAGTAAAAGCCTACAGAGTTATAACATGTTATAATAACTATCAGTTCGCTGCTCAGCGAAGCCAGCAGCAGCCAACAGTACCCCTCAATGTGTATTACGCGATCGTCTTTATACTCAATAGCAGCTATTGTTCGGTGTGCTTTGTTCCTCATCTGCAGTTTGCTCAGTCGATTCTATTGTTGTCGATCATGTAAGCAAAGATTTTGCGATTTCACGTGTATAAGTGAAGACCACGATTTACGTGTTTGGCGAGATTGCCATATTTGTAGAAGTGAATTCCGTTCTGATGGAACAAATTGAATATTTGATAGCGGAGGATAAGGTGCTTTTCGTATTGCACTTCTTGACTTTAGTTTTAAGATTAATTGTGTTTATTGTATGTTATTGTAGTGATCAAGAAAACTCGGCTCTGTAAAGTTCGGGTGATCCTGATCAAATAAAGTTACTAACAAAAAATATTAACGACAGTCTTCAAGATAGACTTATAACATGTTTCAACTGCTCAGTCTGAACATAGCATAATATTACACGAGAAAGGCACTTGCCACCGATAGGTAGAATAATCTGGGTTTTTTTTTTTCGCTTTCGGCTCCTGTCGTACTGGTTTTGCAATACATGCTTATGTGCCTTTTGCCCCTCCATTCTGCTGGTTGCTATCATGTGGGTGCGGTGGGAACAAACGGGACTGCCATGACGACGACGACGACGACGATGGTGTTGCATTTATGCTTTTCGTGTTGAGTTAGATGGCGAAATAATGATTCTCTCAGCATGATCTTTGCTCCATCCTTTGCAGTTTGAATACAATTCTGAAAAAATCATAAAGCACTTCTTCATGTCGATCTACTGGATGTTCTAAGTGTTGGCAATTTGAGATGACGCAGTGATGATGAAGGTTTTGCGGTAGATTGCAGAA